TCCAGGACAGAGTAAGAATATAATATAAAAGGCTCAAACACTAATATTCCATGTTTATCGTTATCGTAATCACCATCCATTTCATTAGACCTACAAATTAAAAAAGAAATCGGAAATTTCTTTTTGAATTTGTAAGTTTGATGAGTTGGATCGTGATAACGATTCCAATGCAATAAATTATAACCATGTCTCCCGAGACGAGATTCTGACCTTCGGCATAGCCTCGTCTGGGGATCCTCTCTGCTCGAAGACAGATAGTTTGACCAGCACAGCTGGAAAAGATTTCACTTAGAGTATCTAGCAAATGCGCCACGCTGTCACATGGGGCACAAGGCAGAGTTGAACGTGGGACATCCGAACCCTTAGGCTCATCCAAAATTTCCCCGTAGAACCAGCATAAACGGGATCGGGTTGGTCTAACTCCTCGAACGAGACTCTGCCTGAAGGCATAGCCTCGTTCGGGTTCGTCTCCTCCCGAAGGCAGAGTGTTCGACTGTAAAGCCGAAAAAGATTTCGGCTATTCAATATCTTCTAGTCCCCGCCCCCCACGAGGCCGAGTTTTTACGTGGGTCTTCCGAGCCCGTAGACTCGGCCAAAAATATTCCCTTTTGAACCCGTATAATCGGGTTCAGGGTCAGTCTACGGCAGAGCCTCGACCGGGTTCCTCTCAGCCCGAAGGCAGAGAGTTCGACCGTCTATCCGAAAAGATTTCGTCTAGAATATTTAGCCACCCCACCTAACAAGAGTTGCATGCGGCACAAGGCCAGATTTAACGTGGGTTCTCCGAGTCCGTAGGCTCGGCCAAAAAATGCCCGTAGAACACGCATAACGGGATCGAGTTGTTCAACCTACCCGAACGAGCCTCGTCCGGATTCCTCTCTGCTCAGAATGCAGAGAGTTCGATTGTCTAGCCGAAAAGATTTCGGGTAATCTCTGTAGTCCGTTGACTTACAGATACTTATTGGTAGTTACTACCTATAGGGTAGTCACTCAATGGGGTGACTGGTTATTCCATTGCATCAAAAGCACATGCCGATACTGCTTCGGTCACAAGAACCCTTATAGCAAAGCAACATTCAGTTGCCCTTCGCTCACAAGACCTGTTATAGCAAAGCAACATTCAATTGCCCATTCAATTGCCCTTCGCTCACAAGACCTGTCATAGCAAAGCAACATTCAATTGCCCATTCAATTGCCCTTCGCTCACAAGACCTGTTATAGCAAAGCAACATTCAATTGCCCATTCAATTGCCCTTCGCTCACAAGACCCGTTATAGCAAAGCAACATTCAATTGCCCATTCAATTGCCCTTCGCTCACAAGACCTGTTATAGCAAAGCAACATTCAATTGCCCATTCAATTGCCCTTCGCTCACAAGACCTGTTATAGCAAAGCAACATTCAATTGCCCATTCAATTGACCCGTTATAGCAAAGCAACATTGAATTGCCCTTCGCTCACAAGACCCGTTATAGCAAAGCAACATTCAATTGCCCATTCAATTGCCCTTCGCTCATAAGACCTGTTATAGCAAAGCAACATTCAATTGCCTATTCAATTGCCCTTCGCTCACAAGACCCCTTATAGCAAAGCAACATTCAATTTCCCATTCAATTGTCCTTCGCTCACAAGACCCCTTATAGCAAAGCAACATTCAATTTCCCATTCAATTGTCCTTCGCTCACAAGACCCGTTATAGCAAAGCTACATTCAATTGCCCATTCAATTGGCCTTCGCTCACAAGACCCGTTATAGCAAAGCAACATTCAATTGCTCATTCAATTGCCCTTCGCTCACAAGACCCGTTATAGCAAAGCAACATTCAATTGCTCATTCAATTGCCCTTCGCTCACAAGACCCGTTATAGCAAAGCAACATTCAATTGCCCTTTTTCAGAAATTTACATATCTGATTGGGATATTTCGATGTCTATATCGGCTCATGTATATTTTCATACACGACATGTAAACAGTCATTTAAGCAAGACATGTGTCACCTTTTCTGACCAGTGCTCTGCTTCCGATATGGCTCATTATAAAGTTTGCCTGCAATACTAAAAAGATTCAAGGTAATTTTTTGTTGAAGCTGTCGCAGCCATTTTCATCACAGAAGACCATACGCGTAATCATCTGCCATAGAAATGGTGAAAGGTTGCTTGTTTTTGAAGAAATGAATTATTAATAATTAAAAAAAAAAAAAATGAAGTCCCGGTAAAATTTTATCAGAGATGACTATGGTTAAAACATACTATTGCATGGGATTTCTTCCTTATTTATTCATTCGAAAATACAAAAAAAAAAAAATTTAAATTTTTAATATATTTCTTCTCGAGAGTAAAAATATATTTCTTCTCCAATAAATATATTTATTTTCTAGACAAAAATATTATGAACATCTTGTTTATAAAGAAAATTATATTTCCACGCATGGTACACCAGTTGCCATCCAAGTCTATAGAACCCGGTCTGTCCTGCTATTTACCAATAGCTGGTGGAGAGAAGAAGAGAATTCATACCTTTCCGAAGGGTTTTAGCACGTAAGGGAATTTAATGGATTCGGGTGGAATTCGAACTCGACATATATAAACCGAATCAATCAGTTATGTGCCATGGGTATTTAGGCACTTTACAATGGTACCACCCACTGATATCGCCCGTAAGCCGATCCTGACAACCAATCACCTTCCTGACAAAGTGAACGTTGCTACGACATGGCAACACTTCTATCATATATATATATATATATATATATATATATATATATATATATATATATATATATATATATAATTGCGTATTTAGGCAGCAAACCCACTTTTATACAAGTTTCATTACAAATGTCTGATAAAGTACTGCGGTCAAGTTTTTTATATAAATATTTTTTATGTTATAATATTCTTCTTTCCTGGACATAAATTATGTAGAAATTGTCCGAATGTACTCTATGTCCGAGCACTTTCGGCTGTACTGTTAGCCATTGTCAAGGATGATTTTATTTTTACTTGTAACTGAATGTTATATATATATATATATATATATATATATATATATATATATATATATATATATATATATGAAAGAAAAATACAGAAAAAACAAAATTCTGAATATGCATTATTAATGTTAAATAAAGTCGACGTCGGACGTTTCGGTCTATTTAAGACCATCTTAATGGACATTTTCATTTAATGAAAATTAACATTATAGATAACAATTTAACACAAAAGACGATGGAAACGTTTGACGTCGACTTTATTTTAATTAATGTATATTCAGAATTTTGTTTTTTTCTGTATTTTTCTTTTCATACTGTCGGATTTATATCCATATATTTGCTTACATATATATATATATATATATATATATATATATATATATATATATATATATATATATATACAGAAATGTAAAAGAAAGGGCAACCTACTGCGGGAAAAAAAAAAATCTGCCTCGTCAGTCATATATCGAAAGATACATGATCACCTATGCGTGTATCACGTATAGCACATAACTGACTGATTCCTTGTATATATGCCAAGTTCGAATTCTAGTTAAATCCATTACATTCACTTACGTGCTAATAACCTTGGGAAAGGTATGAATCCTCTTCTTCTACTCTCAGCCACGGCTAAATAACAGGATACAGACTGGGTTCTATAGCTTTGGATGGTAACTGGTCTACCACAGAAAGAAGTGGCAACCTACTGCGGCGAAAAATCTGCTTCGTCATTCATGTATCGAAAGATACATGATCGCCTAAGCGTCTATCACGTATAGCACATAACTGACTGATTCCTTGTATATATGCCGTGTTCGAATTCTAGTCAAATCCATTACATTCACTTACGTGCTAATACCCTTGGGAAAAATATGAATTCTCTTCTTCTCCCCACCAGTTATGGGTAAATAGTAGGAGAGTCCGGGTTCTATAGCCTTGGATGGCAACTGGTATACCGCTAAAAGAAATGACAACCTAAGTGTGCAATCGAATTATTTATACGAATATATATATATATATATATATATATATATATATATATATATATATATATATATATATATATATGTATTTATACTAATATATATATATATATATATATATATATATTAGTATAAATATATATATATATTAGTATAAATAATTCGTTTGGACACTTCAGTCAGTTATGCCCCATGCGTGATACACACTTAGGTGATCATGTATCTCGATACATGACTGACGAGGCAGAATCTTTTCCCGCAGTAGGTTCCCATTTCTTTCTGCGGTATATCAGTTGCCATCCAAGGCTATAGAACCCGGTCTGTCCTGCTATTTAGCCATAGCTGGGTGGGGAAGAGGAGGATTCAGAACTTTCCCACGGGTATAAGCAGGTATGTGGATGTAATGAATTCGAATGGAATTCGAACTCGGCTCTCCGATTCCTTAATCCAATCCGTTATCCACTTAGCATAAGAATAAAGCTGTTTGTAAAAAAATACCTGCTCGCCTACCCCATCTTCTGACTACTTTTTTGTCTGTTTATCATTCCTCGTGTTGCCATTCTCACTCTATCTACGCATTTGCCTTTCTTTCTCTATCTCGTATGCTTCAATCAAAATACCCATTTTGTTTTTCCATAGCCATATAACTAGGTTGTTCATACCTATCTATCTATTTATCTGTCTGCCTGCATGGAAAAAGATAGAAGCACATATATGTGCTTCCATCTATCTTCTTTTTTTCCTATCTATTCGTGTGTGCCCATCAGTCTGACTGCTTGTCAATCTCCCTCCCAACTTGCATCCCATACCCATTCTTCGACCAATATCGTCATTTGCAGCTGTGGGTCTTCCCACCACTGGCATTACCGACCTCTCCACTGTCACCTTGCATTTCTCGCCACCAATCGTTACCAATTCCGTCACACAGACAACTCCACTAGCAATCAAACTACAACCAAACACCATTACTATAATCTACAGTGACGTGCAATCAAATTAACCAAACTTGTGTTCACAATACGCTGAGATGCATCGTTATTAATATTATTATCATAAATTGAAACAGCAGTTGTAATTTTTCTCTTGATGTGGATGGAAATCTGAATGAAGAATACAAATGGAGGGAGAGTGAGAGTAAACAATTGAGAGAGGGGAGGGAAGAGAGAGAGGAGGGAAGAGAGAGGAGGGAGAGAGAGAGGAGGGAAGAGAGAGAGGAGGGAAGAGAGAGGGGAGGAAGAGAGAGGGGAGGGAAGAGAGAGAGGAGGGAAGAGAGAGGGAGAGAGAGAGGGAGAGAGAGGGAGAGAGAGAGGGAGGGGAAGAGAGAGGAGGGAAGAGAGAGGAGGGAAGAGAGAGGGGAGGGAAGAGAGAGGGAGGGAAGAGAGAGAGGAGGAAGAGAGAGAGAGGGAAGGGAAGAGAGAGAGGAGGGAAGAGAGAGAGGAGGGAAGAGAGAGAGGAGGGAAGAGAGAGAGAGAGGAGGGAAGAGAGAGAGGAGGGAAGAGAGAGGAGGGAAGAGAGAGAGAGGAGGGGAAGAGAGAGGAGGGAAGAGAGAGGATGGAAGAGAGAGAGGAGGTAAGAGAGAGAGAGGAGGAGAGAGAGGAGGGAAGAGAGAGGGAGGAAGAGAGAGGGGAGGGAAGAGAGAGAGAGGAGGGAAGAGAGAGGGGAGGGAAGAGAGGAAGGGAAGAGAGAGAGAGAGAGGAGGGAAGAGAGAGAGAGGAGGGAAGAGAGAGAGAGAGGGGGTTCTGTTTTTTCTTTTATATTATCCTAACATAAATTGACCATTTTTCACAGTTCTTTTTTCGTCCTTTCGTTTTTATTTCTCCTTTCATGCTTTTTTTTCAATTCCTTTACTTAATTGCTTTTTTTCTTTAACTGTTTTAATTTTCCTTTATTTTCCGTTTTTTTACCTTTATTTTTATTTCTTCTTTTCCTTCTTCCTTCTTTCTTTTCTTCTTTTTTTCCTTCTTTCTTTCCTTCTTTCCTTCTTTCTTTCTTTCCTTCTTTCTTTCTTTTTTTCCTTCTTTCCTTCTTTCTTTCCTTCTTTCTTTCTTTCCTTCTTTCCTTCCTTCTTTCTTTCCTTCTTTCTTTCTGGTTTTATTTTTCTCTTATCTTTTTCTCTTTTTTTCATTACTCTTCTGACATTTTTTACGTTTTTATTTTTCCTTTTTATATTTTCCCTTTCTTTTCCTCATCATCTTGTTCAAATCTATTTACTTACGTATGTATGTATGAATGTATGCATCTATCTATCTCTCTCTCTATCTATCTATCTATCTATCATTGTCTCTTCGTTATCTATCTCCTTGTCTCTTCGTTATCTATCTATCTATCTATCTATCTCGTTATTTAAGAGTAATAGATAATTTCGCTTTTGGAGCGGTTCACAATTATACCCGGTCTTTTAAACAGGAGTATATGTTTATCCTTTGGTCTCTATTTGGGACTGCATTCCCGGTTCTTTCTAAAGTCTTTTTCCACCTCTTCCACTCCCAGTAGCCCGTTGCATCTTAGTGACTTTATCGCCTTGTGTCAGGTGAATTGATTAAAGAACATCTATCTATCTATCTATCTATCTACCCCGTTATTTACTTTTCTGTAGTATAATTATCTGAAGTTTTGCCTCCATTTTTCTTGTTAATCAGTCTGCAATGGTGAATCTTTCTCTAATTTCTTACTTTTCTCGGTGGAGATGCCGATGATATCGGTGAAGATTATAAGAATCCAAATACAATTCTATAATATGGTAATGGTGATAATGAAATTGAACTGAGATTTTCTTTCCCAAAGTAAGCTGAAAATAAAATTGCCGAGTAGATTCATTAACTGATTTGTTTTTAACGGCTTTTCAACCCTTAGCAGGTAATTTAAAGCATGAAAACACTTTCAGATTGCAACTTTTTTTTTGAGATAATAATTATTTACTGATACACAGTTTTGCTAATTAATCCATAGCAGGGGGAGAAGAGGTTGATTCATACCTTTCTGAATTGAATATAACGAACGCAAGTGGAATTGAAATTGGGCTCTCCGATTAACAATTCCGAGACATTATCCATTACACCACCCGCACATCAAAGCTTACAGCAGCTGGTATATTCTAAAACGATCACCCATCTAGGTAATGACCAAACGACCTTGCTTAACTTTGGTGATCATACAGGAAACAGTTTCTCAAAGTGATGTGGCCGTAATCCCTTTATACCACCGCAAATCAAAGCTTACAACATCTGGTATTACCAAACGGTCACCCATCTAAGTAATGATCGACGTTGCTTAACTTCAGGGATCGTACGGGGACTGGAGTTTCAACGTGATATGGTCTTAAGTTTGCCTATTAGAAATCTTATGAACGGACTGACCATGATAAATATAATTAAATACATTTGCTTGACACTATCAAGATTGATAATGGATGTAACAGCTATTTTTTTCTTACTGTTAATATTGACTGTAGTCAAGAAGCCCATTAAGAGAAAATTGTTTTCCCAAATGCTCAATCTATTTTTTCATTCCGATATCGTGACATACCAGGAACGAGACGTTTCCGGAGAAAATAATAAATAAAGAACAGGTGTAAATTGAAATGAATCAGTTGTGTATATGATATGGAAGGCCCAAACTGTGACTGTACGGACTGGATGACCTAAGGAATGTACCTCGTCAGAACATCTTCCATGAAAATAGCGATAAAGTATCGAGAAGCTAGCAACGCTGCGTCTGTGAGAAAAGGGCTTGTAGGGTGGAAAATAATTCCTCCCCCATGAGGATTACTGGATGAGTTTGTTGTGGATAAGTTAGATCGTCGTGATCTGAAAGTGTCATCTCGCGAGTCTGTTCCACAAAGCAGCATTTCTTGGGAAGATTGGAACTTCCTCCTTACAAATGTAATACGAAAAGAGTGAGGATGAGTCGAACCTGTGACAATATGATTATTTACCCGCTGCCCCATGGATCAAGATGTGGCACAAGGCCGAGTTTTAAAGAGGGGGTATCCGAGCCAGTAAGCTCGGGCAAAAATTCCCTATAGACCACGTAAAAACGGAGTCAGTTTCCCGAGACGAGACTCTGCCCTTGGGCATAGTCTCGTCTGGAGAATACCCTCTGACATGTACCAGGTAAGTATTTTTTTAACAGTCCCTCCAAGTGGGATTTATGTGGCACAAGACCGAGTTTACCGTGGGGTCTCCGAGCCCGTAGGCTCGGCCAAAAATATCCCCACATAACCCGCATTAGCGGGTTTGGGTCTGTCTACCTCCCCGGACGAATATCCGCCCTTCGGCATAGCTTCGTCCGGGTTCCTCTCTGCTAAAGCAGACAGTTCGACAGAAGTCGCACACAGTCAGAAACTGCGTTACGACTAACTCTGTGACAATATGATTCCTGTTTGTTTAGCTACCTTTTTCTTTTTTTTTAAACCGCCACTTGTAATATTCATCGCAAGCTACTGTTTTTTTTTAATATTTTCTGGTAAAAAATAATGCGTTTTTTTTTTATATATATTTTCTGGTAAAAATTAATACCTGTTCTTCATTAATTACAAGAGATTTCATCGCAAAAAAAAAAAACATAGAAAAATTGACACAAATGTCTGGGGATTCCATATCTAGTCCTCAATCTAGTCCCCTTCCCTCTCAGGTTCAGTCAAAAAGTAACGCCTAACAAGCTTAATTCTATGCGCACAAAGCGTATCAAGATAACCCCCTTTCCCACAGACAAAATGTACAAAGGTCATCGCTACTCTATTGCTATTTCCCCGGAAAGAGTTATGAAGATCTACTTTTCTTCGTTCCACCACCCCTCACCTTTATGTCTGGGACCCGCTTTTCACATATCAGTCTTTCGATACATAACTGACGAGGCAGATTTTTTTCCCGCAGTAGATTGCCATTTCTTTCTGCGGTAGACCAGTTGCCATCCAAGGTTATAGAACCTGGTCTGTCCTGCTATTTACCCATAGGTGGGCAGGGAGAAGAAGAGCATTCATACCTTTCCCAAGGGTATTAGTACTTAAGTGAATGTAATGGATTCGACTGGAATTCGAACTCTGCATATATACAAGGAATCAGTCAGTCAATGATAGTCGCTTAGGTGATCATGTATCTTTCGATACATGAGTGACGAGGCGAGATTTTTCCCCGCAGTTGGTTGCCACTTCTTTCTGTGGTAGACCAGTTACCATCTAAGGTTATAGAACCCGGTCTGCCACCTCCCCCAGGCCACGTTCTGTCATTCACTTACTTAAGCCCTCCAGGTATGTCACTCGTTGTTTTCCCTTGTCTCTCCTTTCCTCTATTCGACCCGTGAGTATCAGATTCTCCAGGCCCTCCTTCTTCATTATATGTCCCAGAAACATCAGCTGCCCCTTCCTGATATTAACTATAAGCCTCCACCTTGTTTGCATCCTCTCTAAGATCTCATCGTTGCTCACATGCTCGGTCTATGATATCCTTAGTATTCTTTTGTAGAACCACATCTCCGTCGCCTCGAGTCTTTTCTTTATCTTTAGGGAAATCGTCCAACATTCGCTGCCGTAAAGAAGAACAGATGTCACGTAACAGCTCAGTATTCTTTTCTTCGTTGCCAAAGAAATCCTCCGGTCTCGCAATACCCTGTCTAGCTTTTGGAATGTGTCCTTGGCCATCCCAATACGTCTATAGATCTCAGTGTCGCATTCACTGTGTCAGGACTCTTCCCAGATATTTGAATTTCCGCGTCTGCTTGATTTTAGTGATTTCGAACTGCAAATCCCATTTCAGGATCATCCTTTTACTGATGACCATGCATTCTGTTTTCTTGTAGTTTGTGCTTAGTCCTTTCTTCACACTCTCTGTCTCTACCATCCGGGTGTTTAAAACCTTATGGAACCTGACTGTAATAATGAGTATGCTTGAAGCACAACCTAAAGACTGGTGAGAATAAAAATGCAATCGAGACGAAGATTGTCCTCCTGAAAACTGCCATCATTTATTCTGCGAAAATTCTCTGCAATCTTCTTGCGCTGTGAGGAGTCTTGGTGATACCATGCTTGAAGAACAGAAATTCCATTGACTACGCCAATATACGATGCCAACATCATATTTTCTTATCTAGGCAATAGCAGAAACGTTGTGTCTATTGTAATAAATGATATTCATCAGTACTCTCACTACTCCCAACACTACTGTTTTTTTTGAATTATGCTTTTTTCAAATCTCACCTAATCATTCTAGATCTTTTTTCGAGTGATCCCTGTATGCCAGATATTATGAACACGACCGTAAACCTGATGATCCAAAATTTCTCCAGTTCCCGAGCAACGTTCTAGTATTTCTTTTTTATTGTTTTTTTGTTTCTTTTTATTTTATTTTATTTATCTATTATTACTGTTTATTATTATTATTATTATTATTTATTTATTTCGCCTTTTTATTTTTATTTTTATTTTATTGCTGTTGTTTTTAATAATGCTATTCCGATTGTAGTTGTCATCCATGTTTTTTCTTATTTTTATTTACAGTGCGCAATGCAGAATAATTGTGTAAGAGGAAGAAATAAATGTCTTTCGTAAAATCTAAAAAGAATACAACTATAATGAAGGAAGTTATTATTATTATTATTATTATTATTATTATTATTATTCGTACAACAAACAAGTAAATCTCGATCGATATCCGTCACATGTCGACGCTACCACAACCTCTGACTCCGCCAACAGAACCGCCGTCGATATTTACATCAGGTTCGATGACGCCCACAGAAAAATACCTGAGAACCAATAACCTGACTCGTTTTTATAACGATTCATTTTTCCTCCTTCCCATTTGTTTGTTTTGAATCTTCTTGTCGATTTCCTCGTCGAACCTTCTTAATTATTATTTAAGCTCTCCCTCAGGAGTACCTAGCAGCTCTCCACGGAGATCAAGTGCGAACACGCCAGCTCAATACTTCGCCACACAACTCAGTTTTCTATTATTATTATTATTATTATTATTATTATTATTATTGTTGTTGTTGTTGTTGTTTTGAGCAGTTTTCATCTTTAACCCAAGATCTTTTATCATGGTCGCGCTCTGTCAATTCGTACATCCTGAAACAGTATCTTTTGCCGAATATTTGTAGCGCCAAGCAACGCAGACTCCTGAAGCGACGGGATACGAGACATTAATCCCATTTTCTCATAGTAAGACAAAGTTCGGTGTTACAGACTCCAACGCGTCAATGATAACCGTGATATTAATGGCCTGAAAGTAAAATATTCTCGAAACCTCAACCCGAAGGTGGTTGTATTTCTTAAGTTTCTATGGTCTTTCATGACACAATTTATTTGCCAACACATAAGCCCCCCCCCGCTTCCGACATTGTTGAGAAAGCATATTTTAACGCCATATTACATAATAGCAATGGAGACACGGTGAAATAATGAATAGCGAATCGGACTGAGGAATCGGAGAGCCAAGTTCAAATTCTAGTCGAGTTTTTTGTATTCACTTACGTGTAAATACCCTTAGGAAAGTTAGGAATCCATCACTTCCCCCCGCCCCCAAGCTATCGGTAAAAAGAAGGACAGAATGATATCCTATAGCTTTAGATGGCAATCGGTCTTGGAGAAACAATTCTGAATCAAAAACCTGAACGGTCAAGTGTTTGGCGTGTAAACTGACTCCTCCATCAGACTCCTCCTTCTGGCAAGAAAAACTATAGCAGCATAAAACAATATCTGTTAAATGGTAGATGAACTCGTTAGAGTCAACGGCCATCTGTCCTAACTATGGTTAAATAGCCTCAAATGGCCAATCGTAGTGAGGGAGGAGTTTCTTCAAGAGGAATGAGAAGGCCCTGAATTTTCATTACATGATAGACGCACAATTATAGGCATACGTGCACACGGGTTAACATACAGTATTCAATATTTTTGTGTAGATTTTTAGTACATGTATTATTTAAAGATAAAGATTATTAAAATCTGTACATTAATTAAAATTACAAACATTGGCCACAATAAACCAAATATAACTAAATATATATATATATGCAACGACAATCAGACTACTGAAACATTTCAAACTTCATCAGGAGTAAGACATGGAGGAAATAAGAACCTCGATCTATTTAATATTTATCCTAGACTATGCACTGCGTCTATATAAGCACAGATGTAAAGAGATGAGCATTGTTCATTTAAGCATTCCATACAACATCCCAAATGAATCTTCTAATCTTCTTTTCCTCCCGATGCCAAACGGATTGAGGATGATTGATGATGAGCGATCTATGCCAATGGCATAAGTATTCATGGCTGGGATAAGAAAGATCTTGAACAAAAAGCATCGATATCCTCTACCAAGCGTTCCAATAAAAATGACCTAAGATAAATATTTCCGAAACAGAAACTATGATCTAGAATTGAAGTGAAAGCGACGGTACTCTGAACATATCAGAAAAAATTAGTAAATACTAAACACTTCAAATACCGCGTAATATGGATCAGTTATAACAAAGTTAGTACAAGAGAAATGAAAATTTGAACATATTGCGCATGGGGTAGTTTCGCCCAATACTGCATGCTGCTGCAAAACCAAAAACATTAACCTAAAGAAAGAAATGTTTTAAACAGCCTCGTCAGATCAAGACTTTGATATAGATGTCATAGGGCCAAACCGATTCAGAAATATCATCTGTTTAAAATAGAATCGAACAATTGAAGCCTGTAAGTCTTAGCGAGGACCATCCTTATTCGAACCTTTTAAACTGGCGCTACATAATCACAAAGTACTGTAGCAAGTAGCAGAAATCACATGCAGGGGACATTCAGTAACCTCAACAACTAAAATAGATAGCACATGTAACTCGATTAGAAAAGTAATGACATAATCAGAGTGTTGATGTTCCACAGGACATCGAACAAAAGGCTAGGAAGGAAGCGGCCATCAATACGGGAAAAACCAATAGTACTTACAGAACATGAGTTTTCCTAAAAATTGTATTAAGAAAATGATTTTATAGATTTCACTCGAAAGTTGCATTGGTTGCCAGGTCAATGAATGCTAAATGTTTCCTTATAAGGAAACAACTACTATTACAATTACCACCGTCGCAGAAGAAGGGTCCAAGCCCGAATTACAGGCAGGCGCTACAAGGACTGCAATAACACTGGTAACGGAAAGGAACGTTATTTTCAGGAAAAAAAAAACTGAAGCACCGGCACACAGTGATTCTGCCTATTTTCCTTTATGCATGCGAATCTTAAAATCTCGAAGAAATTCCTCAAAGAAGGATCGAGTCAGTGGAAGTGAAATGATTTATATCTCTATCTATAAATGGCAGAATGTGTGTGTGTGTGTGTGTGTGTGTGTCTGTAACGAATGCACGGCCGCAATTTTCGACGGATTTGCACCAAAATTTACATGCACATGCTCCAAGTTAGCGTGGAGGCCAAGACCGACATTGCATTTCCCAACTCCCATCGATAGTGGAAATAATCGATTTTTTCATGCTTCTACGGCAGTTTTCATCTAGTTTGCGGCCATTTTCTACTGGCCAGAATGAGAGCCAATAGCTGGCTGTCACAAATAGGCAGGAAGATTCTATTGGCCAGCGTGAGAGCCAACAGCTGACTGACAGGAATGTTAACCAGCAAGCTAGCATGCAAAAAAATATCGATAGCTTCATTCGTCACAAGTGGGAAAAATTTAAATCTGCATGGCAGAAATTTAAATCTCCAATTGGCTCATTCGCTTGATTAAACTCAACGTTGATTCTGATTCCGAAGAACTGGGTTGGATGTGAAAAAGTATTTGTTGTTAACTTTCTTTTTTTCATTCGGTTTTTCCAGTTACGAGTCCTTTTTTTAAATCTGATCGTTTTGTGTTCATTTTGTTTAGTTCTTTTTTCGTAACAGATTTAATGTTTAGTATAGAGCTTAGAAAAAATTCGCAGTGTGAGATAGACAAGAAGTAAGGCATGTAGCAACATCAGCACGGCAAAGGGCACTCCTTTAAAGGCAAGGAAGGGCAAAAATATTTTAAGTCAAGTGATAGCGATTGCTGTATGAGTCGTACGATTTTTGAATCAAGCACGGGCAACGCCGGGCCATTCAGCTAGTAACAAATAAAAAAGTCAACAGAACCTAAGAGAGAGCACGTTGGCCGGGCTTTTTAAACTTCTAACTACTGTTTAATAAGTTAGGGAAATATGATGGTATGTCCACCTGATCTGAAGGACTCCCTGATGCCTGCAATCAAAAACACGGTATAAGTGAAAAAGAGTCGCAGCAAACAGATAAAGGCATCGTCCCAACGCAGACCCCATCGCACAACCACCAGAAAAAGAACGTGATGCATTCAGTAGTACTGCGAACCTACGACCATGTTAGGCTACAGGTTAAGGGAGACAGCAACGGTGTTATAAAGGTAAGTTTAACTGTGGAGTTTGTTTATATGCTTGTTCATGAGAAACATGTTTATGGTGCTGAATTTTCCCCAACGTTTGGAAATGACGCACTGGAATTGACTGTTGGGCAGAAACGATAAGTAAGTTTCAAAGACACTCCAAAGATTTCCCTCTCATTTTGCTAAATATATTTCTGTAAACTACCTTAACTACATACGTCCCACATTGTTGCGCGATTGTTAGGGCTACAAATAAAGACAGAAGAGAGGAATTGAGTTAAACAAATATATTAACAGAAACAGTAACACAAACAGAGTTACAGCAAGAATATTCGGTCCTATTGTCAGAGCTGACTGCTGGAAAAAAAATCCCTCTCCAAAAGGCAGTACCTGCTCCTATTTATAGCTGGGGGAATCTATGCGTGCGTGGGTAAATTACCATAATACGCATAATGGTACAACATTAACTAGATGAAGACATCATTGCCTCTGTTATGTGGGTTGTATTTCTAAGGGGTATGAGTGAGAGGTATTTCAGCCACACCCTTTATTACTCTTTCTCTCTTGACGTTCGTCTTTATTTCCCTCCCCCACCTTATTTGTTGCAATTCCCTAGCGGTGATAAATACAACATTTTAGATAAATAGATAATTTGCCTTTGAGCCGTTTTATTGCTGCAGATGTTTCTTTTCCGTCGGAAAACCATTATCCACGGTGTGTATAAGGAGATACGCCATCAAGATCAAGTGCATTGACAGAAGAAGAAGAAGAGCTAAATCCAAAGCAAGAAGAGAAAGATAGCGAAATTAGAAAAACAGAAAAAGGAAAGAAAAGAAAAAAGGAATGAGAAAGAGAAAAAAATGAATGAGCGATGTTTTTGTGAGGGAATATTGCATTAACCTTGTTTTTTTGTTTTTTTTTAAAGATAATAATAATTTTTGGACATAAGTGTTACTATTTAACCCATAGATGGAAAAGAAGAGGTGGATTCATAACTTTTCGAATGGTATTTGCACGTAAGTGAATGTAATTGGAATTTCGAATTCCGCTTTCTGACTTTCTCATTCATCGATGTTGTACCACACGCACGTCCGAGCATACGGCACCTGGCATTCCCATCTAGCTACTGACCATGCTCGACGTTGCTTAACTTCGGAGAACCGGCGTAAGAAAGAAAGGAACGAGACAAGAAGAAAAAAGAAAATTGAGTAGAACGAGGAACAGGAGAAAATCATTGCTAATATTCACAACCACTACGCTTTTGTTCACTGTTTAAATGGTCTTCTGGTAAACATTATGACTCGGCAGAAAATATTTGGGCTCTGTTATAACCCGGCTGCTCCAGATGAATATGTATACACCAAATAAAGGTCATAATATATAAGCAATATTATATTATCAGCTGACTGCAAATGTAATTGAAATGAGAAAAGACAGATTCCAGATGTATATAAAGCAAACAAAGGCGGATAAGAACTGGTAGACACAATAATGGAAACCAGATGGCACCAATCATTATAGAAGCGACGGCAGGTGAAACAAGCAAAGAATTCCTGTAAAAGACGATTTGCCGTATCGAGGAGAGGCAAAAAAAAATCCTTGTTCATTTACGTCATGAGCTTCCTAAAAGATTAAAATATACTTAAACCTATGTAGCGCGAATTTTACAAGAATATGAATTGCAATGGAATAGAGTTTTAAAAGACCCAACTTGATACTGTATCTTGACTTATTTTAGCCTATGTGCGGGTAGTGTAACGGTTAACGGTGCGTCATGAGAAATCGTCAAGGAGTGTTCAAATTCCGGTCAAAAAATTGCTCCTTTCACTTTTGAAGACATGCTCTTAAAAAAGGTATTAATCCATCTCTTTAATCTCCACTATGTGTTAAAAAGCAGTGGGGAGTCTGATCCCTAGCCTTGGATGACAGGCATTCTAGAAGAAAGACAATTTTGAATAGAGAAGACAACAGGAAACCACTCCAGTATTTTTCCAAATAAGCCTTATTAATTCGCTAGCAATACATAAGAGTGTGTCATGGTTTTTAAAAAAACGCCCGGTTTACACTCATCCCCCCGTTTTTTGTATCTCCGCCTAAACTCTGAAATGTTTTTTTACTATTTTTTCCTTCAATAGCAATAGACAGGTTCGCCTATCGTCGGGTTCATACTCCTCCAGGTCTTTTGATTTATCTTGTTTCCTCTTTAGAATTGGGTCAGACAGTTATGTGCCATGCGTGATACACGCTTTCGATAGACCGACGAGGCAGATTTTTTTCCCGCAGTAGGTTGCCATTTCTTTCTGCGGTAGACCAGTTGCCATCAAAGGCTATAGAACCCGGTCTGTCCTGCTATTTACCCATAGTTGGGGTGGAGGAGAAGAAGAGTATTCATATCTTTCCCAATGGTATTAGCACGTAAGTAAATGTAATGGATTCGACTGGAATTCGAACTCGGCTCTCGGTTTCCTCAATCCGAGCCGCTCTCCATTGCTCTACCGTGCCTTTCATTCACTTTCCTGTAAACTCTTGCATTTTAGTGGCATTATCGCCTTGCTTGGAGATGAATTAATTTAAAAAAAAACAAAAACAAACAGACAAATCTTACTTATTATAAAACGCAGATTGTGTGTGTGTGTGTGTGTGTGTGTGTGTGTGTGTGTGTGTGTGTGTGTGTGTGTGTGTGTGTAGGTTTATATATTGGATCGGATTTCCTACATTTTCCAACCGATTTCAACAAAACTTCACAGGACTACGTAAAATTATCTTGCGGTGGTTCTGACAGCGCCGAAAATTGGAAAAATACAATTGTTTTTGCACGAAATCAATTTGAAAACACGATAAAACACGATTCTGTCACCAGAATGAAAGGGGGACAACTCATATCGAGTTATACTTATTATAAAACCCAGGTTGTGTGTGTGTGTGTGTGTGTGTGTGTGTGTGTGTGTGTGTGTGTGTGTGTGTGTGTGTGTGTGTTCGTTTATGTATGGGATCGGATTTCCTACATTTTTCAACCGATTTCAACAAAACTTCACTTTTTTGGCAGGTAGTGTTTCTTATTGTCTTGCACTTTTTTTCTTTATTTTTACATTCAGAATGCTTTAAAAATTCCATTTACAAGACAGAATTGTTTATAATAAAATTCTATTCAATCGGTAGACTCATAACAATTGAAAACAATGTTTTTGTTTGAGTTTGGGTTTGACCAATTCGTAAAAAAAAAAAAAAAATAATTAAGACATGCGTGTCCGTCAACCTTAAACAATAATGTTTGTCAATTTTATTTTTCAGTCTTTATGATGGTCGATACTTGATCGATCTCTTACTGTTACATCCCCGGGCAACGCCGTGCTCTACTGCTAGTTGTTAAATATATAGTAATGGTAATATTAGCTGCTTCCTCATAAGGAAATAATTGGTATTTAGTGACAGAGCAACCAGTACTGCTGCTGTCTGTCTTTCTCGTTAAACGGTTTTTCAGTAAAATAACTTTCTCAAGTCTATCATTATTTCCATTATTGAAGTGGGTTTCCTTCCTAACCTTTTGTTTGAAGTAGTAGGGAATGTCAGAATCTTGATTATATAAATCATTTTTCTTTTCACTGTTGCATTTTAGTTGCTGAAAATCTTCAGGTGATATGGTTTCTGTTATCTGGTACAGTTCTTTGTGATTCTGTAGCGCCAGTACCCGATGTTTGAAGCAGGGTGATCTTCGCCAAGATCTACAGGATTCATTTGCTCGAAGCCATTTTAAACCATTGAACTTAGAGAGTGGTTGTATATAGTTTAGGCTTTTCTGAACGGATTTGGAGCCATGCAGGATCCATATGAAGGTATAGATCTAAGGAGGTTATTTAAGAACAAGACAATTTTTCAGATTAATAATTTGGTTATGTTCCGTCTGTTTCTTTCAATACGGCCGGATAGATCAGAACGGCATCGCCATTTAAACCAACAACAATTTCACAAGTCAGCAACAAGACCAAAGGAGATGACGATTCCTTTTTAATTTAGGGATAATGCATTCAAAGTTCTTTTCATTTTCGAGCCCAGGTCGTCTGGCTTTATCGACATCTTGCTGCAGAGACACAATTATATATTAACGAGATGACCAATGACAGCATATCTTGCAGTGAATCCGGCCTATAACGAACCACTCTGTCTCTGAAGACAATGCAGCCACACGACTAAAACCCGCGGCTTCGTATTGACTGACTTCATTATTAATTCACTTATAAACAAAACCACCAACGTCAGATTATCGAAGAAATCAGTGACAAAGCTTTGAAATTATCTCCCCAAAAACCCAAATTTTACTTGAATCAGTAAGATTCTGGCCAAAGTTATATACCATCTATTCTATAGGATTTTAATACTCCTAATATATAAATCTACTTTAACACACACACACACACATACATATATATTAGGTTGGTGCAAAAATAATAACGTAATAATGTCGTTTTTTGACGTTAAAAAATACGTCAAAAAACGACATTATTACGTCATTATTTTTGCACCAACCTAATACATATATATATAGAGAGAGATATTGATATAGATAGATGGAAATGGAGAGTCATGATCGTCTACGTCCTGAAGGGACACGGCACATAGAAAGAAAGAACCGTTATGCTAATCTCACATTTCTAATCTGTTTCATTGATTTCAAAAGTGAGTGGATTTCCTGCCATATTTTTTTTACCATTTCTTCTTCTGTCGGAACAGGGTCTATGCATAAATGGACACAAATATAATAATAAAAGAAAACTGATTCGGTGTAGAACGGTTTCATTGAGGAGCAGGTCAGTATTCCAGATTTTAAAAGATTGCGTACACACACTCACACGCATAAACAACAGACATATTCACTGAATTCGAAACAGATAAATCCAGGTTGAGATGCATATGAACATCGTTAGGGAGAGCTAGAGAAAACAAAGATCGCCGGAGAAAAAAAGAAACTGATAGATATGAAGCGACATCAGATATCTTACACATTATATATATATATATATATATATATATATATATATATATATATATATATAGATAGAGATGTGGTCAAACTGAGATAGATAGATAGATAGATAGATAGATAGATAGATAGATAGATAGATAGATAGGTATGAACAGACTGACAGACAAAAATGAATAGACTGAGATAGATAGATAGATAGATAGATAGATAGATGAATAGATAGATAGATAGATAGATAGATAGATAGATCAAATGAGATAGATAGATAGATAGATAGATAGATAGATAGATAGATGTGAACAGACTGAGATAGATAGATAGATAGATAGATAGATAGATGTGATCAAATGAGATAGATAGATAGATAGATAGATAGATAGATAAATAGACAGATATGAACAGACTAACATACAAAAATAGATAGACATGAACAGATGAGATAGATAGATAGATAGATAGATAGATAGATAGATAGATAGATAGATGTGATCAAACTGAGATAGATAGATAGATAGATAGATATGAAAACTATATGCACAATAGATGCAGAGCCTGTAATAATAATAATAATAATGCTTCAATCGTTTGAACTAGCCAGGAAGTAGGTTTAATAAACATCTTCCACCTCCATTTCAGTTGTTGAAGAGCCTTCCCCTTATACGTCATTTTTCCTGATTTCTCTTTATTTATTCATTATTGCCGCCATTGTTTCGAAAGCAGTTTTAGTGGGAAATGAAACACTTGTCCCGGAAATAAAACAAGTCAGAGAAACGAGTCAGTGGCCATCGGTCGATTTGTCTGTTGGCCAATTTCTATATTTGCAAAATACGTAAATCGCTCTTGGTCACTTTCCTGTCACTGTACGAGGGGCTGCAGACGCCATTATGGTTCTGACAAGAAAAGACCCCCTACAATGACTAGAGTAAGCAGATTATGCATTCGTCGACCAACGTTCTTACACAGAGCCGATTTTGTCAGTAAAGCTTGCGTTAATTTCTTAAAAATTCTGCTTTTATATTCCATGTCGTTTCGGGACGTGAGAAACCATTATGCCATTCATTTACACAAACTCATTTATTCGTCGTTTCCTCCTGTTTCAATTCCTATCAATATGAACTGAGAGTGTTAGTTTCTGTAAGGCCTCTTTCCTCGTTAAGTGTCTCACGATTTTTCAACTGTTCTTTTCTCATAGCAAGTATAATTTCACGCGATTTTAGTATATTCTGCAGCTTATATTTTCTGCAACCCTCAGTGGGAAAACTTTATCTGTTACGAAATTGTCTAGCATTCACTGCCATATAGATTAGATACATAAACGTTGGCACTTTTTTCATCGTTTCTAGAGGTATTTCCCACGTCTTGAAACCTTTCTGAATTAAAAGACATCATTCGCTGTTCCTATGCGTTTTCGCACTTTTGTGTCATATTTTCAGTTGTCTGCTCCGAAACTACCCAGTCAGTTAAAGTCCTGCACTTCGCTGTAAAATTCTTCAGAACATGAGCAATTATGGTTCTACTAAGCAACATTTAACTACTTTCAATTTATTTTAAAAAAACACACGGCACTTTTACACTTAAACACACACACACACAACCGCGCGTGCACACAGTTCTATATATACAGTGTAACCCGGATATAAGAGACCCGGATATAAGAGAAACCCGGATATAAGAGAGATTTTCTCTGATCCCAAATTAGCGCCTGTGTTAATGTATATAAAATAGACCAAACCCGGATATAAGGGAAACCCGGATATAAGGGAAACCCGGATATAAGTGACTTCTTCTCCGGTCCAACTCTCTTATATCCGGGTTACACTGTATATATATATATATATATATATATATATATATATATATATATATATATATATATATATATATGAAGAAACATACTATAATATGTATATATATATATATATATATATATGAAAAAATATACGGAAAAACAAACAAAAATCTAATATGGATGCTGTTTTAATGTTAATATAATGTCAACGTCGGACGTTTTCGGTCTAATAGACCACCTTCAGGACATATTCATAAAACATAATTAACATAGACCCTATTCAATTCAACATGAAAAGTCGGTGGACATAAGAGCAAGACCGCTATTAGACTTGCTATTAGACCGAAACGTCCTACGTTGACATTATATTAACATTAAAACAGCATAATTGCATATTAGGATTTTTTGTTTGTTTTTTCCGTATATTTTTCTTCATACTATCGGATCTATATCCATATATTTATATATATATATATATATATATATATATATATATATATATATATATATATACACACACACACACACACATATATATATATATATATATGTATGTATGTATGCATGTGTGTATATATATATATATATATCAGCAAACACTGAGGTCTATGTCTGCTTTTGTAAAGCAGATATTGTGTACTCTTCCCTTGTAAATACAGTAAATCAATATATATATATATATATATATATATATATATATATATATATATATATATGGACACTGAGGTCAACACCAATTGGTGACACTCTGTTTCATGCTTAATGCAATCTTTCAGGCCATCGTAATTATCAATGTACACTTTTTTACACACACTCTATACCTGATATTGAGCACTTTAGCCCATAAATATAGCATACCTTAAAAGTATATTTTAATCATATATATATATATATATATATATATATATATATATATATATATATATATATATATGCATACCTTATATATGCGTCACGCAAAAAAAGGTTTTTTTGAAAGTCCTGAAAGTGATTTTTCCTTCGATCAATCTAATGTACAATTTCAAAACCCCACCGCCACCCCGGTAGACCTGTAAATATTGGCAGAAAACTAACATAAGTACACGTTGCAGATCTGTCTGGAGGACATTCATATTGTCAGCATTAGTCTGCCCGAAACGATTTGAACAACCTCCCCGCAGATGTTATATAAAAGTTCAGAATGAATATATTAGGTCGGTGCAAAAAATAATGACGTAATAATGTCGTTTTTTGACGTATTTTTTATTTAAAAAAACGACATTATTACGTCATTATTTTTGCACCAACCTAATATTCTGGAATTCGGAAGACATCCCCGCAATAGTTCTTAGCGATTAATTACAAGCATTAAAAACTAGCTTTCTCTAACCAGGCCTATTTCTGCCTCTTTTCACCAGTTTTTCGATATAAGTTTCAAGAGATTTCAGATTGTCTTTAACCACATGCTTCAAACGTCTCTTGGGTTTGTGCATCCATAAAACAGGTGCTTGAGCGCTCACCCATCTTCTGCCCTGATCAATTCAGTTGATTGCAAGTGAGCAGCATCTATATACTGGGCGTTTTGCTTTCGTTGCAAAACGACTGTGTCGGGCATAAAAGAGCGACACACACAAACGTACGGGCACACACCCGCGAACGCACAAACAAGTACATGACCACACGCGCACACACACGAACATACACAATACGGGAAGTAACCTACACCAAAGATAACTGTATAAAAAAATAAAAATCGAGAAATATAAGCAGTCAATTACTGATACCCGCTGAAGAGTGGACGGATGGGTATATATATATATATATATATATATATATATATATATATATATATATATTACCTGATTAGTGGACGGACGGGTATATATATATATATATATATATATATATATATATATATTGATTGATTTAAAATATGGTTTGTTTCGCACACAGTTCTAACCATGTTTCAAAAATGGAAGCTAAAAGCTACGAATTTAATTTTGCAATTAAATTAAAGACATTTGTTCCATTTCATCCTCAAGCGAATTTTGGAGTAACTTTTAAAATTACTGGGTTTTAAAGACACAGCAAAAATCATAATTCATGTTTCCAAGGATACAGAGAAATCCACTTCAACCAGACAAGGGGTGTCTACGTGTTCATTATCGCTGTATTTTGATGTATCAGTTATTAGTTAGCTATCTTACTGTTCTTTCTTTATATATATATATATATATATATATATATATATATATATATATATATATATATATATATATATAGTTCCAACATCAGAGATGGAGCTGTGTAAATATTAGAGAGTGGCGACAGTCTGTTTCATACTTTAACCTAATCTTTAGATCATGTTACTCTAATGGTTATTATGTATGGGACAAAGGTAATATTAAATTATTCTAAATGCTATTGAATAGAAGTATTTAAGGTCCAGAATACGATTATTCTATATGTTATAACCTAAGAAAGGTTACTAAATAAAATAATCAAACGAAGGTTGGTATTGAACGATAATACTTAGGACAAGAACAACACATATAAGTATCGCCAGTAGTCAACTGCTAGAAGTGAGTCAAGTGAATTTCCCAATGAATCTCCAACTGCAGGATATCTACCAACCGCATCACGTGGTTATATGTAGCAGAAGGCCATATTTAAAGTGAGGTATCGGAGGCCGTATGCTCGGCGAAAATTTCGCCGTAAACCCCGTATAAAACGGGGTCAAGTAACTGTTTCCCGAGTTGAGACTCTGCCCTTCGACATAGCCTCGTTTGGGGTGCTCTCTGTCTGGAGGCAGAGAGTTTAGCCAGCACAGCTGAAGACGAATCTCCGACTGCAGGATATCTAACAACGTGGTCAGATGTGGCACAAGGCCGAATTTAATGTGTGGTATTCGAGCTCGTAAGCTCAGCCAAAAATTCCCCGTAGACCCCCGTATAAAACGGGGTCGGGTAGCTGTTTCCCGAGACGAGACTCTGCCCTTCGACATAGCCTCGAGGTAGAGAGTTTGACCAGTACAGCTAGAGACGAATCTCCAACTGCAGATCAACATACAGTATTTACTACTGTAATTATGGTAATAGGGATATACCCATTATCGTCTGTAGGTATACTACAACACTATACCTTATATAGGGTTGTTAACGTTAAACTCATTCTTTATTATTGATTACTGAGGGTATTTTGTATTTATTCATTAATTATTGATCTCAGTTTCCACACTTCTATAGTCCTGCTATATATTTAGAGATTCTTGATAAAATCCAAAGAAGAATCTGCAATATTATTGATCCTGAAATGGCATCTCAGCTTCAGTCACTTTCCCTCCACCGTAATATGGCATACCTGTGCATCTTCTATAAATTTTTTCATGGTAATTGTTCGCTACCTAGACTTTGTGAATTTAAGTTCTGTACTAAGCTGGCAACAAGGTTTCATCAATGTACAGTTGAATTGGCTAAATACAACAGTACGCTCTATGCTAACAGTTTGTCTTCTCGCACTTCTCGCTTGTGGAACTCTCTTCCGCTTCTTACTTCCTGGCCAAATTTAATCTTGAACAATTTAAATACAATATCAATCGTCAATATTCAATCCGTACTGTTTCTTGATTACTCTTCTATTCTTCTCTCTCCTTAAAGATGTTTCTCTTTTTTTATTCTTTCACACTCAGTGTCCCCTAATGTGGCCTCACTGCCTTACGTGGGGCGAAATGATTACATATATATATATATGTACATACATACATATATATATATATATATATATA